TCAAAACAAAAACAAACAATAATGTTATGAGAATATTCAGACAAAAATTAATATATCAAGACATACAGTATATAATGATTGACGACATGACAGCTCCCCAATAGTCAAGCCAAAGCATCTAGATCGCCCCCTGGTGGCCGACTGCAGTATAGGTCGTAAAGCCCACTGCCTCCAGGTTAGTAGATGGGATATGGGATCTGATATAATGTCATTTTTTCTGAAAAAGTCTGGTTTTAATTAGTTATTTAATTAGCTATAAAAAAAAAGGTGTATGAAGTAATGATTGACAGGTGAGCCCCGTTCCCGATTGTTGCCTGTGGAAAGGGTCTCAATCTGGCGGCACTGCTTCTGGCTCCAAAGGATGTGACCAGAGCAAGATGGCAGCAGCTGCATCGGGGATATTTTGACTTCATTTTTGAACAGTGGGGAAAAGTAGAGACGCTGTATGTGAAATAATGACAACTTGGTGTAATTGTAAACCTAAATGCTAAGTGAGCTCAAGTGACACGTTCTTTATGTGAGACTAAATAACTTTTGAGAGAAGAACCAGCACATTCTTCCTCTTAGAAACAAACATTTGAATTAAAAGGAAATAAAATGCACCCTGCATACTCCATTTGACACACTCAGCCATTTTTGCCACCACATCCTTACTTAGTCTGGTATCACCATTAGCTTATGGTTGCTAATGTTAGCTAAATTTAAGTAGACGTTGCTGTATAACAGACATTGCTGAGTCAGTTTGCTGGCAGGTTTTGCCATTTATCATCTATCCTGTAAAACTCACAATAAATGAAACCAGTACATGAAGAAAAAGAAAAACAAAGAAATACAGACAGAAAGAAAATAGCTTCTACTCCTTGCCAATTATCATTCAATTCGCTGATTATTAAGGCTGAAGGCAAACGATATTTATTGGCCTAATCATTCACACGCACTGATTAGAAACATTTACTTTATATTTGGGGATGACTTATTTGACAGTCATGGCTGTCAAATAAGAAGAATTCAGAAGTTAAATGCATAAGTGAGAGAACGAGACAGGGACAGAACAACAAGCTGAAAAAGAAATCTGAGAGACAGTGAGTCAGAGAAACTGAAAGACAAGAGTCAGCAGAGAGAAAGAGAGATGCAGAGATTGTTGCTCATTCATCCAATCGCGCAAACAACAGAGTTACAGACAGTGAGACAGATGAGGGAGACGGGGAAGAAGAAGAAGAGAAAGTGAGCCAAAGCGAGGAGGATCTTGTTCGGCAGATAGATCACAGCAATACAGATCTATTTACAGATTAGTAATGGTTCTGACTGTGTGTGCATGTGTGTGTACGCACTGCACTGAACCTGCAGAACACAGTCACAATTACACAGGCGTTCACACACGCACACAATTGCACACTCACACCTTCACATACACACACTCGCACAGCAAACATACAGGTACTGGTTATCCTTATATTCCCTGAGCAGAAAGCAACAATTTGCCACTCTGCAGTGTGTTGTTGTTTGGCTGTAATAGTGGTGTATGTCGTATTATTGTAGTTGTTTTTGCACCATCTACCGGCCTGGGTCTGAATATATATGGTCATTTTTATTGTAAGCATTTTACGGGGGTTAAGTTTCATTATATGCATGAATATGTTGCAGTAGTACAAAAAGGAAAGTTCAACAAAATCCATACAATCCATCCAATCAGCCAAATGAAAAACATATTGCACTCTGCTGTTTCAAACCAAATCTGTGCCTCGCATCTGGCAACAAGTTATCTATGTTTTAGGGTGAAGGAATCTTTGTGCATCAGCCAACTTGGAGCACAGAAAAATCCTCAAACGAAAAACAAGGCATTTGATGCAGGATCTGGAGCGATTAGGTCCAGAGCACACAGTTATATTTAGAGGTTTTTAATGAGGTGCAGCAACATAATGTCTTCACTTAAAAAAGAGGAGGCAGTGGCAGTGAAGACATTTAAATTGCCTGTCTTTATGTCTGGATCAGTTAGACATTAAAACATGTGTGGAACACCGTGGCAATCATCACAAAAAATCTCAGAGGAAACATCATAGACAAATACAGAGAAAACAAGATAGTTCAATCACACAGCTTATAAATCCAGGATCATCAGTTTGTTCATAATGTCCCTCCTCTCAGGTATGTTGTGAAATGTTTTCAGTACACCAAGATTTCAGAGTTTGATTCATGATTTGCATCATTATAATGGTGTACTATCACATACTCAAGTTTGTTGTTGCAAATAACTTGTCTTATATACTGCAAGTCTTTTTCTTGGCATACTTGCATCCCATTACTTTAAGCCTCAAGAGTAAACAAACACTGGTCACTAAGCACATGCTGATTTTGAACACTCTCTATTGAGAGTGTATTGCAAAAGGACTCCATTCAAACTCTATGCTGGCAGTCATAAAGCCCTAAAATGAGTTGAAACCCATTCAGAGGAGAGGTTAGGATTGTATGAGACTGGAAACAAGTTGGATTTGAAACATCTATTAAGGTTAGTAAGTGGGCAAATGCAGCTTTATATTTTAAAAAAAAGTACAAATTATATCTGCTCCAAATATCTGATGGAGAATGGTTATATAACATTCATGTATATACATTTGTATAGGTTTAGGCTGTGAATCACAGCAGTAATCAGTTTCTCTGATATGACCATGATAGTAAATTTGCTGTCAACATGTGAAGCATGACGGTAATCACCATGGGTGAACTGAAATCATTGATACATAAAATTTGAATTACTTGCTTCTCGACAAAATGGGTAAATAATTCTCCCACATCATGATAAACCTGAGAGGCTCCTTCAGTAACCAAAGAGGGCTCCAGTACAGTTATGAGATAAAATTTTAATGGCCTTTGGGGGATATTGAGTATTTTTCAGCATGAAAAAAAAACAGAAATGGTGCACACAGCTACAACAAAACAAAACAAAAATGAACGCTAGATATAGAGTTAGACATTGATATGCAGTGTACTGGAAGCAGCGTCAGCTCACCAGAGACGTGTTGTGTGTTATTCAATTGGAAATTTCATTCGGCTTTCATCCTCTGCCTTACTGCTGCCTCCAGGGTGTGCAGCTGAGTCGGCTGTGTCATCAGTTCGGTCATCCTGCCTGCATCCCAAAACTTGGTGCTTCCTCTCTGGCACAGTACTGGAAATACAAAGTGAACTGGCCACAAGTAATTAATATGGAACTTGAAGTATGTTGTAACATGTTGAAACACCTGAGCCTCAAGAGGAACATCTTCCTCTGCCCTGTCTTACACTCTGCCTCTTCAAATCATCAGTTGTTTATGAGCTTTGTCAAGAACTTACAGGACTGCGCAATTTCCACTACTTCACCCTGAGAGTTGACAGGTGTTAGCAGCATCCTTCTCCTATGGCATTTAGCTTTCAGTGGCAGGATAATACCACAGTAAAAGCATGAAATAGAGACAAAAATAGCTTCGGGCTCCACTTTATAAATGCAGGCTGCATCTATTTTACATGTGTATTTCATTAAAAAAAAACTCAGATCAAAGGAGATTGGACCATTTATAGCACAAATGGTTATACAGATGTATTAGGTGCACAGGGCTCATGAGGATGCTGTGCAGATTTTAAAGCCCCTTGAGGAAAATTTGTGATTTGTTGTATTGGGCCATGTAAATAAAATAATTAACACACTCCACAGGGACTGCAGTAAACCTCCCCTGGGGTAAACAAAGGAGAACATACACGATACACAATGCAAGACTTTTCACAATTATTATTAGCAACAGCGGCATGAATTATCAAAAGGGAGAAGCTGTGAGTGTGTGGATCCTCTGGTCCAACTTGTTTGAATGTGAACTTGAACTGGTGACTGTTTGAGTTTGAGAATGATCAGCTGAGGGCTGGCATGGGTGTGCTACTCAAACTAAAGTCAGGAAATGTATCAAAATGTGATAATAGAGGTGAATAATGACACATTTTTTTGCACTGTTGCCCTTGAGGGACTATACAAAATTTTGTAGGGCTCAATCATATTTTAGCCTTGCCAGCATTATTAATATTCTTTTAACCTTCACTCCGAAAATGTAAAAACAATACCTTCCCCTCAGTATTTAAAAAATAATACATCTTTGAAAGAACAGCTGCTTAATAAACCATTAATACAGCCAGACAAAAAGCTCCATGGCTGCTGATTCTCTTGAGCACCGTGACGCACAAAAAGCCATTTTTTTCATTTCAACTATTTTAATGTAATTTTAATTTATTTATTTATTTTTTTACACTAAATCTCAAATGTTAGAACAACATAAAATATACATTTAGGATGAGAAGAAGTTCCCAAAAACTTTTCAATTACCCCTCTCTTTAACAAGGAGAAAAAATATGTAAGATCAGAGAATGAGAGATGGGAAATATTGCAGTTGGAAAGGAAAAAAAAATATTTTAATCATGAAATACTTTCTAATCCCATGTTGTTTTGCAATGTATTTTATTTAAGACTGCCTGTGTGTTATCAAAAGCAGTTTGTTCAGTGAAATTTTGTGTACATTTCTACTTGCTGGTCAATACTATATATATAATATATACAATAATATATAAAACATAAATATGCATTTAAAGGATACCATTTGTTCTTGTGTGGAATAATCCTCAACAACTTGAAAATAAGTCCATTGTATGGCCTAACATACTGTACTGAACACAGACATTAATCATCAAGTCCACAAGAGATATAAAGCACTGGAAAAAGTGTAGAATTTTAAGTGGAAGATTATATGGGAACTCTGCAATTAGACAACCTCAACCAATTAAATCTGCTCCCTGGATCAAGCTGCTATACGCTTTAATCTGCCGCAGTGCTCTATTCAGCAGCTGCCTGACATATGAAGACCGTGAGAAGTAATATTTAATTGTTAGTATTGCTCTCAGTTATCTATCGGCTGGGTGGGAGTTGGGTTGGGTGACTGAGGCGGTCACTCTCCTCCCCTTGCTGCTCGCCAAGATAAGGGCTGGAAAACCACAAATGTGTTAGAAAACACCCCATTTCACCCTCAGTTTCAAGGACTAGGACAATGACTGATCCAAACTCGCTGTAAGTATGACAGTATTTTCAGTCCTCTTTTGTTGTTTTTTCAATTAATAAAAAATGAATTCAATAAAAGTGACCCATACAATACACATAAAACGTGATGAAAGTGCACAAAAATTTCTTTTAGTGATAAGAAGCTTACAGAGGATACGAGTGGCAGTCGCAAAGGAAACAAAAAGAAGCAAAAGAAGGAAGATGCCTGGAAACCAGAGGGACCCAGGGACCCCATTGTCATGGTTTGTGTCTTTGTGTGAATGCATGTAGTGATATATGTATGTGTGCTGGTTTGTGTTTGTGACAATGACACTCATAAACATGTCTATTGGTGTATTCTATGCACATCCCACATGAAACAGGGATATGTGTCTATGAAATTATTGGTTTTGACTGTAGGGATCAAGTTGACTTCTGCTGTGTCAAACTGTGGGAAAGATTATAGAGTAACTTGTCCTTGCCTGTCTTGTCCTGTCATAGTTGAACTCCCTTCCAGAGAGCAAGCAGCAGGAGATCCAGAGAGCCCTCCACCTCTTCTCCTTGGGACCAAGTCTGCCAAAGACCCTGCAGCAGGCCAAAAAACACACATACCGTTTCTGGGAAACACAGCCAGTCCCTAGACTGGGTAAGAAGCAATTCCGCTTCCAGCTATTATTTGATGGAATACTCTAAAAGCAAAAGCTTTGGCTCCAACTTATACTTAAAGAAAAAGGTTGGCATTTTGGGAAATATGCTTTTTTGCTGCTGGAAAATGAGAAACTTGATACTACTGTATTATCTGTCCATTAAAAATGAGCCAGCAGCCAGTAGCTTAGCACAAAGACTGGACAGGGGGGGAAAAGCTAGCCAGTGGTAACAAAATCCCCCTACCAGCACCTCTAAAGCTCACTAATTAAAAAGATGCAGTAAGCAATCCTTGAGAAAGACAGTTGATTGTTACCTTGGTATCTGGTGCCACCAACCTCATTATGGAGTTCTCTCTCTTGATTGGATGAAGTGGGAATGGGATACCAGAACATGTATTCTCTGTTTACTGCAGAAAGGAGGGACTTGAAGAGCCGACTGACTCTATACCAGTGATGGCTGTCAGAATGTAGAGCTATTTAACACATTTTTTTTATTAAACTATGTTTTGTTTGTTTAATCCTTATAAAAGCCGCAGTGTAAATATGTTAGCTTTGTTTTTGAGCAAATAAATAGTCCAGCCCACGGTGGGTTGTGGACTATTTCTTTGCGCAGAGCAGTTGCCAGGCAACTAAGGGAGACCCAAGAAAGTTAGAAGGAAGATGTATGGCACATAACATACCATAAAACAGTGAATTGTCATTTCTACACCCTTGCATGGATTAGAAAAACAAGAAATCTTGTAATTAGAGCTTTGAAAGTGCATACCTTTGGACAGAGCCAGGCTAGCTGTTTTCCCATGTTTCCAGTCTTTGTGCTAAGCTAAGCTAACTGGCTGGCTAGCTGTAGCCTTATTTTTAATATGAGAGTATGACACCTTAGTATATGTCGTAGAAGAACATGGTATGGTGTCATCCTCTATACGACATTGCAAACTAGTTCATGGATTTAAAGTAGCTATAAACTAACTTTATACAAAATAAATATATTTTTACTGTTATCATTATAAAAGATTGGAGAGTAGTCGTTTTGAATACCCAAAATACATAAATTATTCACTGTCATTATAACATTGAGAATAAAGTTTTCTTCATACTTATACTCAGGTGACAGTATTGAGACTCATGGCCCAGTAGTAGAGGAAGCCAGTGTCCGTAAGGAGCCCTACTCTCTACCTCAAGGTTTCTCCTGGGACATTCTGGACCTGAGCAGCCCCACGGTGGTAAGTTACTCAGTGTAACTTATTGAATGTACATCATTAGAACCCATATCTAACTCCTGTCAGAGTCTAGCCTTTCAGACGTAAGAGTAGCAATGTGAAGTTCAGGAAAAATTTTAGGCAAATTCAATAGTTTCCCATCTATCTTTTCAGTTGAGAGAGCTATGCATTCTACTAAATGAGAACTACATGGAAGAGGATGACAACACTATCAAATTTGACTTCTCTCTGGAGTATCTGCAATGGTAAGCTTCAAGCAGGTGCATTTAGTCACTATTGATTTCTAGATCTTTTATTAGAAAAACTTTGTTTTTTAACCTTTCATTCATCTAGTGCAAACTGACTGAGTGCACATTCTCTGTTTCATTTCCGTTACGTTTAAAGCAGTAGTTTAACATTTTGGGGAAATATTTATTTGGCTTCTGACAGACAGTTAGATCTGTTCTAAATATAAGGCTACAGGCAACCAGCGGTTAGCTTAGCTTAGCACAAAGAATGAATAGTAAAAAAACAGCTTGCCTGGTGCTGTTATATGTTGTTATTATCAGTTGATATAGTGGAACTGATTTTGTCAACTAACTCTCTGGGGGAAAAAAGCGCAAAACCTTTTTTCCCAAAACGTCAAGCTATTCTTTTAATGTTAATTCACACTTGCTATTCAAACTGCTACGTACAATTACCTATTTATTTTAGCCTCTGAGTGAAAGGAATTGAGGCTCAACAGGAAAGCATAATTCTTTCCACTTGACATCTTGACCCTCCAACACACATATCAGTTACAAGCTGACTGCTCTTATCTCTTCACTAACACCTTATCTTGATTTGCATAAATGGTATCTCCACCTTCAGGGAACACTTACATCAAAACATAATAACATTTACTTTGAAAGGAATAATTAACATAAGCATTCCACGATCTGGCACAGGTCTCTGGCCCTGAGGTGAAAGAAAGCTGCTGTATTCATTCAGCCTAGTCGTCTCATGCTTGCTTCTTTTATTGGAACTTGTCCTTAATCAGAGTTTATTGAACTACCCTTGCATTTATTCACAGAGTTGTATTGCAGACAATGTCATTCTTTCCCTCTTAAGGGCTTTACAACCTCCTAACTGGCTGGCCCAGTGGCACTGCGGTGTGCGAGTAGACATCAATAACAAGTTAGTCGGCTTCATCGCTGCTGTTCCTGCAGATGTGCGCGTATATGAGATGTGAGTACCTCATAAATATATACAAAGATGTGTTTACGGTGATATCTGATGAGTAACATTAATATTCACAGTCCTTGCCAGCACAACTGTAGCAATTTTCCTGTAAAGGTCTCAAAGCAAATGCTCAAAACGTGTTCTGCAGGGAGAAGCGGATGGTACAGGTCAAATTCCTGTGTGTTCATAAGAAGCTGCGCCTCAAGCGAATGACTCCAGTTCTGATCCGAGAGCTCACCAGACGGGTCAACCAGCAGGGCCTCTACCAGGCTGTCTACACTGCTGGCATAGTGCTGCCCACACCACTAAGCTCCTGCAGGTAGTACCTGCTACACAGACAATGACTCACACTTCACAGTGAAGCCACAATTACCGTTTTTAAGGCCCCTGAATGGGTTTTGACGTGAACACACATGCTTTATTTACTCGTTTGAAGCAGCAGAGTGCATTTAAACAAAGGTCATGTCACTTATTTCTGATCACCAATAAAAATGCGATGACAGTCGTGGGATTATGGCTCCAGGCCACTGTCAACCAAATCTGCTCAAACCACACCCACCCAGTCCAAACCACACCCACCCAGCTGAGGTTTCGTAGTCTAACTCTAAATAAATAATACGGATAGATGTTTTTAACCCCAAAGTTAACTTTGATAATGGCTTATTATTAATGAATATTTAATGTTATAATAGATAACACGTTTTTTAGGTCTTTCCCACAATTAACAATTAGTGTTACCTACTGTATCCCTAATTAGCAAACATGCAGTCTTTATTTTTAGTACACATATTTATTCCAATTAGTACAATGAGGGCTACAAATTAGCTTCAGTTAGGCACTATATATATATATATATATATATATATAAACATATACACCTATACATCAAATCCC